CATCTCAATTATCTCTATCTCGAGATAGGACTATTTCAGAACTTATCGTTGGTATCAGAGCCCCCGATCCTCTTGACGGTGAGCTTCGAACAATAAACCTGAGAAAAAGGTTTTCACCAACGAACAATACGTACCTCTCCAACAAGTCTATGATTGCATGGTTCAGATGGAGTCTACACTTCGTGACATGCAGGAGAAACTCCAGACTGTTAGATCCGTAGAGCTTAAACAGATGATGAACCCATAAACTCCTCTAGGGGATTTCGTCGAGCAAGTTAGGGGGCCAAAAATTACAAGAAATTTTGCTGGTGGAATCTTCAATGCAAATTCCGAAAATAGAATTGCAAGATGACGATTTTGGACTTCTTAGGCAGATTCAAATCATTTTAAGCTTGTGAAACGTTCGGATCCAAAACACAGATAGCAAAGTTATGCCGGCTTATAGATTTTCTTATACTCTTCTGACAAAGAAAGTCTGAGTTAGAAAAATCTGTCAAACGAAGGTATCACTGAGTTCGTAAAAAGAAATAATGGATCGAAGACCAAATTACTTCAGTCATGTTCGTCTGTGTATCTGTATGCAATATCTCGTCGCAACATCTAGATGCAGTTTCTAGACGCAGCATCCACTGTTTGTGTTTTTGGTTTATACGTCTAGAAATTGTACCGCGCAGCAATTATGTGTTTGATGGTTTTATACTTATATCTATACTCATTTAATGTAAAATGATCAGATCGTTTTTGGCCCAAAATTAAAACAATAATTAAAAAAAAAAGCCAGAACCACTTCTCAAATGAGAACTTGTAGAACCTTTTAGAACTCTATACGTGGGCGTTTCTGATTGGTACATATTTAATAAGAAAAAAATGACACTGACGAAGAGATTTTTTGGGTCGATTCTCATTCTCTCTCTGTGGCAGGCGATTCCAACGGAGGTGACTCTGACGGAGGCGATTCCGCCATTAGTATTGAAATATGCATAGCTGAAACTTGTACCTATTTTTATGTTGTGCAAGACTTTTCTATCACCTTTCGCTTTAATTTAACGATCGATCTCTATGTTTGTGTTTTCTTAAGAACCCCAAAAGAGTTCTAACCAATGGAGGAGAACATTTTTTAAAAATAATTATGGAGTTCTAAACTAACTTTAATATTGGTTTAGTATTATAAAATTGTTAAGAACCCCATTAGAAGTTCTAACCAATGTATATGCTCTTATAATACTAATATTTATACTATATTTTAAGTTAAGAGACTCACTACTTAAGAGCACCTCTATTGATGAATCTCTATGGATATC